ACCGGGCTGGCCGGCTTCCACCCGAGCCGCGGCCCGGAGGGGTGTGTCCTCTCTGCTGTCGTCAGGGTCGAGGTAGTCTATGATGCCGAGGTGGCACAGGACGTTGTCCCCAATCCATCCGCCGAGGTGGCTGGCGGCGGCTGCGGGGCCGCCGGTGGTGTCTGGGCCGCCGTAGTGGTGTGTGGTGGAGTGGGGCACGCAGTTGCCAGACTTCCAGGTCCTTTACTTCCGTGTGCTCTGACATGCTTTCATGCCTCGGTCTCTCATTTATCGCGGCCTCGCGCAGGCCAGGCGCGTGTGCCGCCCTGGTAGGTTGTTTCTGGTCCTGCATGGATCGTGAGCTCACTCCCCCTCGGCCCGGGCCGCATTCGAGGTGGGGGGACAGGGCTGGCCAGCCAGGCGTCGGCCTTCGGGCCCAGCGGTTTTCCCGGGTTTCCCCGCAGCCGCAGCCTTGCTCACGGTCCCGCAATGATCACTACTCGCTCTCACGTGGCATTGCGCGGTGTTTTGCGCCCGGTGTACGGCCCCCCCGCGGGAGCGGGGTTTCCTCGTAAGTCTTTGAGGGGCTGGGGGCCTCGCTCCGGCTGCCAGCCTCGCTCCGGCTGTGGTCCCACCACGCGCTGGCGGCGACGCCATGTCTGGGGCGGGCTCGGGCGGCCGCATCTGCGCAGGTGTCGTCGGTCTCTCGTGGAACTTCACATGTATAAAAAAACGTGCGGCGTGCGCGAGGGGCGTGAGCAGGGCCGATGTGGCACCGGGGGGAAACCCACCAAACCCCGCGATTACGCCACAGGACCGGACCGTTCCCGTCAGCACCACGATAGCTTGAGAACCGTGGGCGTCAGGTAGCTCGGCACACAGGCTACACCGCACGCTGCAAGTGCGTCGCCGCGCCTGCATGAGCGGCGGCAGGCTTATGGCTGAGAAAAGAGGAGCCCAAGGGTGGGCAATGAAGAGCAGCGCGAGAGCGCGCGAGAATGTGGGGCTACACTATGTCACGCCATGTCGCTGTCCGTGGGGGCAGCAAGGCGGAACTCCATTCGCGGGCGCTGGCCGCCCGCCGCGTGCGTGACGTGAGCTACAACGCCGCCGGCACACCACGCCGTCTCAAAGTCGACAACTGAGAACCGCCTGCGCTACAGCGCCCAATCTGACGCCCCTGAGCTCGCCGGCGCGAGCCCCTCGTGCGTGGTTCCCAGGCCGGGGCCAGCCCTTGAGCTTGTCTGGGTTTGAGCTGCGGTGGTGTGGCGGCGGGGTGGTTGCTGGGGTGGCGCACGCAGCGGCGGCGGCCGGGGCGCAGCCGCGCCTCGAGTTCAGGCTCGGGGCTTGTCGGATGGCGCGGGCTGCAGCGGTCGCGGCGGCTGGCGGGAGCAGCGGGGGCGGCGGCGCTGAGGGTAGCGGTGGCGGCGGGGCGCTTGGCGCGCGTCGGTGACTGCGGCGTCTTGGTGGCGCGCGGTGGTGACGTGCTGGAAGTTTGGGGTGTGTGTTGCTTTTCTCTCCTCGTCTGGACCTTTGGGGGCCGGAGTGCGCTCGCTCAGCGGACCGTCTTGGGGTCTGGGCCCTGCCGTGCGAGCGTTGGAGTGCGTGAGTTTCAAGACCTTGCCTCTAGCAGAGGGGCAACGGGGCCCTTGTGTGAAGCCGACCCTGTTCTTAATTCGCCAGGGGTTTCTGCGTGGGTGGGTCGTGCGCGCCCCGGAGCCGCGGTCGCTGTGGCCATGTGCATTCCGCGGGTTGGCGCGCCCCGTGCCCTGCTTTGATCGCTTGCGTGTTATGCATGGGTCTCCGCTGTTCCGCGTGGTGCCGGGCTCCCCCCCTCTGCCCTGAACGACTTTAAGGTTGGGTGGAGGGTTGCGGCGTTGTGGCTTAGAAGATGGAGGTTTCTTGGGGTTTCCTGCGGCCGTAGCCCTGCCTGGTACCTGTCTGTCTGCCAGATTCTTGCTCTCGGTGACTGGTTACAAGCTCTAAGATTGATTTTCTGTAACAAACGCAACGCAAATAAAGCAGGCTGCCGTCAGGGTTGGGGCGCCGGATCGACTGCTCGGGGCACCGCCACAAGGCTGGATGGAAGTGTTGGAGCATCCCACGATCGCCTGCTTCTCAAAAGCGATGCGGGGTCATTTGGAGAGCTGCGTCCACACCCAATGCCGCCCGTGGCATGCAGCTCTCATTAAAAAAACTGACCCGCACGCCGTGCGGGCGCAAGGATTGGGATTAGGATTGTTACAGCGTCCCGTAGTTCGCCCGCTCCTGGACGACCCGCTCTTAGACGGCACGGCCTCCGGTCTGCGCAGCGCTCAGGGGGGCCGTGAACGCTGCCGCGTCCTGGGCATGGCCCCTCACGAGCTGGTGCCGGCCGCCGCTGCCGATGCCGCGGCGCGCGCTGCGGGCGTATCCTCCCGCGCGTAAATGTACATGTAGCCCAGGCTGCGGGGCGGCGCCTCGCTCGCGGCGACCTGCGGCCGCCAGAGCCAGGTTGGCGTGAGGGAAGGGGGCGTTCAGAAGGCAACGCGCGACGCGTGTGCTAGGCGCAAGAGGGAGAATGGTGGGGCGTTGCGCGACGCGGCGGCCGCTGCCGGCGGCAGCATTGGCGAAGCAGATGTATTCAATTGATACACCGAGGTATTACGGTACACCAAGGTATTAGTTCCATTGCAAAGCGCTCCGTACCCACGCTGTAAGAGTGGTCGTCCGTGTGCCTGGTCTTCACAATGCTTTTTCCTAGATAAGACCCGCACACCCGTGTGCACCCTTCCCCGTCCGCAAGGATCCACGGGCGCACACACAAACCACCCAGATGCACGCACCTTCTCGTCGTTGAATATGACCCAGCGGCCCCCCTTGAACACGTGCGCCACGTAGTGCCCGCAGGCTGTGCTGCTGCCCATGTGGCTGATGATACCCACGAGGCGGTAGCGCCCTGGCCCGTCCTCCAGCCTCGAATGGCGGTGCGTGTGTGTGTGGGTACAAGTGGGCGCGTTTAGAGGAGGGTCAATTGCAAGTTTGCATATCTTGACGCGCGGGTGTGTGTGTGTGTGTGTGTGTGTGTGTGTGTGCGCGCGCGCGCGCGTGTGCGTAAGCGCCACATCCCGCACGCATGTGTGCGTGTGTGCGGGGGTGCATGTGTGTCTTGGTGAAGATGGAATGCAACAGTGTTTGTAGCGAGCGTGCAGGCACAGCCAAGGTTGTGTATGGTGATTTGTGACGGCGGCCCTTAAAATCAGCTGTCCTGAACCCAACACAGTGCTCGAAGCCTCTCACTTGGCCGGCGCCGCCGCCGCCCTGCCGCCGCCGCCACCGCCGCTGGCACCCGGGACCCCACCGCCGCCGCCTGCTGCCGCCGCCTTGGCGGCCGCGACCGCGGACTCGAGGTCGTCCATGTGGCTGAACAGCCAGTCCGCCGCGCGCTCCAGGCTGCCGCCGCACGCGCCCAGCGCCGCCGCCGCCGCGTCCTCGCCGAAGCCCATCGCCGTGAGGCTCGACACCGCCGCCGCGTCCGGCGCGGCGGCAGCGGGCGCGGCGGCGGGGGCGGGGGCGGCGGAAGGGGGTGGCAGGGGGTCGTTGAAGTCCGGATCCTCCATGTGGGCAAAGACCCACTCTGTCGCTGCCTCGGCGCCGCTGTTGCGCGT